GAGTAGAGTCTCCAGGGACCCATAGTGAAGTGCTGGACCTTTCACGCACACGCACAACTCTGAGCGACGCGGCAAGACCAGGATCAACAAGGTAGAACAACTTCAAAAGCCACAACGCCTATGTTGGGCCCTCCAGTATCTCTTCCCATGGCAGAAGGGTGCGGGGGTGTTAGTGGGATCTCTATTCTAAGCGAGGGCTTGACGTCGTGTCTCGCAAATCTCGGAGTCGGAATCGAACGGACGCAGTCGCGTTGCCCTTTCCGCTACTTCCTGATCTCCACGTGCCACTTAGCCGAACCCCCTCTCTCTCAGATACTCCGTCTACGATCGGAGCACAATGTACGGGACCAATAAGCAGGATATGGAACAACAGTGAGCTCATTCAATGGAGCATAATCAAGAAAGTAGAAAAGACTGTGTGTACAATCACAAATCCAACATTAACAAAGGTAGAGCATTGCCCTTCTTCGGGGTATTGATAAGGTTGGCGGGTCTGCCTTGTAGCTTTGTGTACGTCCCACTCGCAGACACGTGACCTTTCCTGTTATACGGGAAGTCCGGTTATGATCCAGAGTTACGGTGCACATCGACCGCATCTGTCAAATGCGAAACTGAAACACATAGAAGAACACCGTCTTATAACTTGATAAAAAATGAACAACTAGGAATAACAAAACACCAAATTCGATAACTGAAAAAAGGAAAACACAAAAAAAAAGGTGAAGCTTAGGGAAATTTCAAATTTGCATATATTTTTTCAAAGCTTTAGTCATTTTTGTGCAAATAAAATAAATGATGGTTTTTCTATGTGTAGAACAAGAAAAGGTTTAGCTAATTAAAAAAACAGATTCTTCTGAGAAACAATCACGAAAGCAACCATTAGTAACCTTTGAGTCCTATATCAAGAAAGAGAAGAGACTTCTCTTTGTCATGCAACCAGTAGACGACCATGCACCGAATACGCGATTGTTTCGATCTGACCAAAACTTCGACAACGGGCAAGGATCGCACAAGGCACCACCAACAAAGCAACCACACTACACGACAACAGACCAACTGCAAAGAATGGCATGTGAAGCAAGTGGGATGGGCAGCAAGGCAGCAGCGGAGGGCAGACAAGGCAATCTACACACCCAAAACACAGCAAAGCAGTACATCACCTACTCACACCACAAGTGAACCCCGCAGACTTTTGGTTCCCCCCTTCTGCTGAGCTAGAAGCTGCTCCGGCGAAATGTCTTTCATCACCCATAGACCATATGTATCACAGACATCACGAAATGGAACGGCCCCCTAATAGTGCTCCAGGTACCCAGAGGAGGAAGCACCGACTGTTTGGCACTGCGTCGAGGTGCTCGCTTAGACAATCAGAAAGTACTTAAAAAAAAATGAGTGTGTGTGTGTGTGTGTGTGTGTGTGTGTGTGTGTGTGTGTGTGTGTGTGTGTGTGTGTGTGTGTGTGTGTGTG